GTTGTCACTCCCAAGCAACATGTAGATTCATCCGTGTATTGGGTGATTAGAAGGTAGTATATGTTCATAATATTTATTTAGCCATTAACAACGTACACACCCTGTAAACATAACTGATCGAACTCGAGATTCCTAAGAGGAACAACACTCCCTTTAATCACCGGAATCACTTAATGAGTTCTCATAAATAACTATTTTTAAATACATTGGAATTTAAAATCTTCATAAAAATGTTAACTAAGTCAATAATTTGCCAAATATGAAAGATAAAGAAGCGAGAGGACAAAAAACTTAATAATCAAATGATTAGCATCCATAATCATTCATAATCACACGAAACTCTTTATAGAAAAAGTAGAGCATAAAATAAATGTTTAACTTAAATGAAGAATACAATTTGATTATTATTTTTATTTGTCTCATAAACACTAAACCCTGAACAGAATATTTAAATCTTTATATTTTGATTTCAAAATTTAAAGTCATAAATATAAAATTCTGAATAGGACCTGCAATGCTAAAATACAGAGATTATAAAAAATAAAATTTGATATAACATGTATATTATACAATATATATATATATATTGAGTTTGAATGTGAAAATTAAATCCAACAAAAAGTAAAAGGCTAGACTGATTTTGTTTTTGCTTGCTTCTTTTTTTCAGCTTACTTCTTTTTTAACCGCAATCATGGAAAATTGTTGCCACCCCACTCTGAAAATTGGATAAACTTCCAATGTGCACACGTTTTTCATGTTTTTTTTTCTTAATCAAGACATTAAAAATAGATCTTCCCCATCTTATGAAAAGCACCTACTGTTTTTAACTTTTCTTTTGATAATATGATTTTTATATGGATGACAATGAGCCAACGAAATACATTCCTCCCCCCCCCCCACAAGAAATTTGAGATATGAGATGGGGTTTTAGGGTGATACAAATGAAATAAAGAAGTTCAAATTGGAAACCACTTCCTTAACAGTAATTTCATGCGTGTTTTTGCTTAGCTATAACCTGCATTCCTTGCAAAAACGGTGCTCCATGCATGGTTCTCGACTGTCGCCACTCTATACGCACTCAGCTTAAAAACTCCGCTTAGAATTTGCAACCACATGAAGACTTCCGTCACCAAAGTTGCATTCCAGGGCTCACTTCATCAAATTTAAATCTCCGCTTTAATAAGTATATAAATGTGCCGTTTAATTGTTGATTTTATTGAATATATCAGTTTTCTGTAATATAATAACCGAGTAGCCTGCAAAGAAATTGCAAATCATGGCAACCTAAGTTTCTGCTCCTTTGGTGCTTTTATTTCATCCAAAAGTATCTTACAGTGGCTCACCCTCTAACCTTTTTTGTTTAGAATTATAAGAATGATAAATAATTGATCATAGATCAAAGGAAAAGAAATTAATCAATACGTATATTTATATGAAAAACATCTGATGATAAAATATAGTGAGAAGAAAATAATTTTATTATTATCAAATTCAATATTACGTTATACATGCTCACTTTATTAAATGGTTGTACTCTGATTTTTTATATCAAATAAAATAAAATTTAAATTATAATCTTTAACAATTTTAAAGTTATCCATGCTCTTTCTCTATTCAATAGTTGTCATCTCCCACTGTTTTTAAAGTCTCATAGACTGCTCCTCTAATTGTGACAGTAAAATTTAACATTGATGGTAGCAACATTTAATATTATATTAATGAGATAAAATTATAAAATTATAAAAGATGAAAATAATTTATTAATATAAAATATTTAAAATATATAGTAATTTAATATTTTAGAGGTACTATATCATCTACTTTCTCCTTGATTTATCCTATTGATTTATCAATGAGTAGGGAATTGCAGGGTTTGTTACGGTAATTAGAAGCGGATTTACAATAAATTTAGGGTAGGTACTAGGGCTGTAAATGAGATGAGACAGATCGCGAGCTACTCGAGATTGACTCGATCAAGGCTCGATAAATACTCGGATCGAATGGACTCGACTTGAGCTCGAACTCGACTCGAGTTCTTAACGAGCCGAAACGAGCTACTCGATATTCGACTCGAAAAGCTCGTGAGCAGCTCGAAAAAAATGTTATATTATAATTTTAGATTTTCTAAAATTACATTATAAAAAAATTATTAAAAATACATTATTGTTAATTATAAAATTTTAAAAATATATTAAAAATTCTATAATACAACTACCCTCAATTTTTAATTTTTTTAATTAAGCAACCCAAGTCCAATTGTTACATTGTATATTACTAAAAGAAAAATAAAAGCTCATTTAATTAAGCACATGTTAGATTACACCCTAAACCCTAAATCTAAACCCTGAACCTTGAACTATAAATCCTAAACCCTAAATCCAAACCCTGGATCCTAAACTCTAAACCCTTTATCCGATTATGTGATAGGGTACTAAAAGAAAAATAAAAGCAAATTTAATTAAGCACATGTTAGAATATACCCTAAACCCTAAACCCTAAATCTCAAACCTTGAACCCTAAACCATAAACCATAAACCCTAAGCCCTAAACCATAAACCATAAACATTTAATCTAATTATGTGATAGGGGTTAAGTTATGCACATGAAGGTAACATAAAAATTATGCAAAATGAAATTGATGAAATTAACAAGAGTTTATATGTAAATAAACTAATAAATCACACTTGGTCAAATAAATCAATAGGTCCATTATCAAAACAAACGGTGATCAAAACATAAAATAAAAATAAATTAACTCAAATCATAAAAACGTAAACCTTGATTAATGACGAAATCAGAAGATTACAAATATAACAGATCCTAAAATACTAATACTCCATTTCTAAAACACGGGCTTGAATATCTGTCCACTGTCCATGTTTCTTTGGTTTTCTTTTTCTCTCTTCAACTCTCTGTTTTGTGTATCCTCAAGCTTTCTGCAACAAACAAGTGCATCCTACGAAAATGTAGGAAAATGTAGCCGAGGATTCAAGACGCTCCAAAAATGGAGTACTTGGGCATCCTACGATTCGGCAAATGGGTTTGCGAAGGCATTTGTTCATTTGCTAGAGGGGTTTCAATTCATAGAGTTTACACCTCCCTGCTGTGACCTTCGCCACTTCAACCAAACAAGAAAGCAAAACCAAAAGGAGATATACTAAAAATCAATAACCATTTTGTTTCAACATCGATTTTCGAAGGCAAACTTGGATTAAAGTGCATTGTTTTGGCGCTGCATCCATAGGTCTTTCGTTTCTCTACAAAGGATAATTACTGATGGAAATCAAATAAGTGCAGAGTACAAAATCATAAATCGAAAACAAAGTGGAAGAGGGAAGCGATGCTCAGTGAATACGAACCAGAAAAAAATCATCTCGCGAATTAGTTATGAAACAAATCGGGCAATCGAATCTGATTCGTAACAAATCTGTCAACTCAACATTTTGAGAAAAAGTTTTCGAGGAATCGTATCTGCAAGCAAGCAAGTGTAATAGATTTATGAACTGATTCGTAACTAAAATATGACAAATCCAGGAATCTAAAAAATAAGAGTTCTATGCCAAAAAGGGGAGCAGAAAAAACAATAATTAAGAAACCAAACAAGACCAGGCAGTTACATTGAACCAGATTACTATCAAAATTACCAAACTTACTAGAAAACTGGAAACCAAAAAAGCTTATTAAAACCAGCGAAACTGGATTTTGGTTTATTATCAAGTTTGGAAACCAAAAAGTTTCAGCCTTTTAAACCAAACTTTAGAGCAATTTATTTTCAACCGGTTGAAATAGGAACTGAAAGAACAATCAGTTCAACGACCAATTTGGTTTTTTATTCCTCAGGAAGCTTTGTTTTTGAAGCAGAGATCAAAGATGAGAGTGAAAAGAAGCTTGGAATTTGGGAGGTGAGTTGGTCATGTGAGATGATGGTTCTTGAGAAATAAGGGGTAAAGTGAGTGTATAAAAGGGATGAGTTTTCAGCAAATGAAAATTAACCTTTGGAGTTTGAATCGAGTTTGAATCGAGTTCGAGTCTTGAGCTTCAATCGAGTTCGAGAATTTTTTTTGAGTTCGAGCCTTTTCGAGTGCGAGTCGAGTTTCATAAATATATTTCGAGTTTGAGTCAAGCTTGATAATTTTTAGCTTGCGAGTTTTTGAGTCGAGCCTACCTATATGGTTTTCGAGTTCGAGTCGAGCACAACAATACTCAAGCTCGACTCGGCTCGTTTACACCCCTAGTAGGTACATGTTTAGTCTAAAATTTAATTTTTTTGTTTAGTTGTTTATTTTATTGATTGTGTTCAGCCTGATATTTTATTTGTGCACATCTCATATAAATTTTTTATGTTATTACAATATGTGTGCTTATCTTTATAAATATTTTTAATTCTGTCACTTGCTCGAGTTGTGGTATTTAAAGACGGTAATTTTTTTTCTTTCATTTCGATGTTGATATTAATAAAATCTTTATACTATTCGGAAAACAATAGTTCATAAGATTTTTGTGTTGGCGTTTTAGTGTTGGTATAGCCAGATGTTGCATACAGTTGGCATTGGAGTTTCAATCATTGCTGCTTAGCCTTATACCAAACTTGGACCTATATTTTTCAGGTGACAATCGCTTTAGATCTTTAATATATTATCTGGGAACATCAATAGTTTAATTTATTTTAAAACCTGTAATTAGAAAATTTCATCACCATGTTTAATTGTAAAGGAGGAAATAAAATTTATTTATTTAACATGATAAATTTTTTAATTTTTTTTATTAAATTACATTTTCAAACCATAAATAGTCAATCGTTCTTCACATTTTTGACAAACCAGAAGTTGATCTAAGTTCAGTTTATGTTTTGGAGCCCAGTTCTTCCGCATTGGGCTTCACATTGGGTCCTTCTTTAGAGGACAGACAGCAATTTTCATAATTTCTAAGCATGCCGTTTCTTTCATGTTAAAACCGACCAAGATTATGTGTAACAAGCCCTTTTGTCCTTTGGCCGCTTTTGGATGTTTTAACTAAAAAAGAAGTCATAGCAAGTTCCTCTTGCTCTCTATACAAATTTTCCCCATCACTAAGAAAAAAAAAAGGAGTTAAAAATATCTACTATTTCATCATGCGAGGAAAAATTCTCGTATTCACTGTCCGGAGAGGTCTGTTTTCTCGGTGTGTGCATAATGAGGTAACCCATTTCCTTTTCTAATATTTTTTTAATTAGCAGTTTTAATGCAATTCGGGCTATGAAGTTTTCATCACTTAATACTGTTGTTCGATTTTTTTTTTGTTGGGTTTTTGGAATTTAATTTCTATTACTTTATAGATTGTGAAATCATCCCAGGTTTAGGACGAATTAGTGAACTGCTTGCTTCTTCTTCTTCTTTTTGATCTTTTCCCCACATGTCATTTCTCATAGAGTTGTTGACGAGTTAAATTTACTCTTCTTTCAAAGAAAATGTTATCAGTTTACTGATTCAATTTAGTCTTTTAATATTTCAGGGAAAGTTTTCTTGACCAATTCTATCAGCTTGAAGCCATGAAGGACCCAATTACGCCTATTTATATTGTTGGAGCAGTGGCATTTGTTTCAGGTTTGGAAACCGGTTTTTATCATAAAGTATTTGTTAATGCCGACCGGGTTTTCTTATTGGAATATTTGTTCATTTCTATTTCCTTTTGAGCGTTTAACGATGTCTGGATGTGTTTCCGACATAGATACTTTATGAAAAATGATGAGTCAGGGTATTATAGGTCTAGATGAATCTTGTTCCTTAAAGTAGCAAATTATACAAGGTACGATAAATTATAAACTCCTTTATCTTAATTTTGAGTGCTAGACAATGAAGTCGGCAGTGAATTTTAATGCTTTGTGATCATTGACAACCTTTATGAGTTGTAAGGGCCATTTGTTGCAACTAAAAGTAAGGAACATATGTTTCAAAAATTTATCAATTATAGATTCTGAGTTGGTAATGTGAGTCATTTTAAAAAAATCACTGCTTGATTAATCTAAATCCAGGGGTGTACTATGACAAATTAGTTGATCCTGGTTTTTATATTTTATGAGAGGTTCATACATCATAGTACTAAACCCAAAAGGAGGCACATTTGAGTTGTCTAGACCTTTTCTCCGTTTTTGAGAGCTTTTTTTCTTTGTCACCAGGAAGGAAAATGTAACAATTTGCTATTACCACCTGGTTTTCTGCATACCAGAAACTGTTGTTAATTTCATACAAGTGGACAAGCTAGTTGAGTGTTTTTTAAGCTGTACAATGTATTCCAAATATGATGTGTTTAACGGTTAGGATCTTAAAGGCCAAAGCTACTTTTTATGCTGTTTGATTGTATCTCTTCTCTTGAATTATCTGATTTTTTCGCTATTGAATCAATTCTTACAAGCGCTATGATTAAAAAGTTTAGTTAAAGAGCCTGAAGTACTCCAAAAGCTTTTAGCTTTCTAGCTTCAAAATTTTTTAAAATTTCGTCATAGATTTCCAAAGCAAACCATACTAATGAACATTAGAAACTTAAATTTGCTTTTACATGAAAATTTGAAATACCTTTAATACTAAACTTCAAATAGTATTAAGGTTGAAAAAAGAAGGCTTAAAGTAAAAATAAGTACCTAAACTATGCTCTCTTTTTGCTTTTAGTACCTAAACTTTAAAACTATTATATTTAATCATTTTAAGTCCTATTATTTTTTCAGTTAGAAAATTATTTTTCAACCAATAAGATGTTGACATGTCACACAAAGTTAGGTACTTGTTTTGACCAAAAAAAATATTTTAGGGGTTTAAAGCAAAAAGGAGAGAGTTTAGGGACTTATTTTGACCAAAAGTATAGTTTAGGTACTTAAAGCAAAAAAAGAGTATAATTTAGGTACTCTTTTTTAGTTTAAGCCAAAAAAGAATTACAAATTTCAATAACTTAAATCCTTAAATTTCAAAATTTGATGTATTGGAGAAAAAAACAACATTAGCATCTCTATACAGAAAGTTAATTGAACGAAGAAAAGTGGATATTAATGTATTTTTATAAAAGGATGTCATCTTCACTATTTTTTTTTTGTGCATGAAAAATTAAAACGTGTGCGATGTATGTCGATATCTTAAATCGAAAAACATGAATGTTTATAAGTTCTATATCCGTTTAAAAGTTTGCAAATTGTTAGTTTTCAGCGTATTATACCAGAAAAAGTTAACATTTGTTGGTGTTTTCTGTTCATGATGTAAAGCTGCATGCAATCTATCAGCCTGGTAGTTTCGAACTCTTGGGGGCCAGTCTTAGTACTTAATTCGATATTATTTGGGTTAGGCAGAGTATTCTTTTAGCCCCTTCATCAATCTTATCAGAACTCTTAACGGAGCTACAGTTATTCTTCAATCCATTACAAGGAACCAACTGGTTGCTTATTAGCTTAAGTTGGCTTGTTAACCAAAATTAACTCTGTTAGTTCATTAAGAGTGGTGTGATAGGATTGGGTGAACTTGAACTAACTTCGGTTAATGATATATTTAATTACAAATCTGTGTAATGCTATTTTGTCTAGTGCAATTACAATAAATAAGACAATTGTAAATGGACTGTTACATTTACAGATAAGGATAATGGGCCCCGGTGATAGTCTAAGTATTTATTCAGTTTGAACACGTGGCATGGAACTGTTATACCACCTTATGTGTCAATGAGGTGTAAAGTGGACCCTAAATGCATGCCAAAAAGGATTAGATTGGGAGTGCTTTATGCTGTAAGAATTTTGGAAGTCCCCTAAGCAAAAAAAATCACTGTTATACCTATCATTGCTTCACGGTTAAAATCATCATGTTTTGATCAACTTATTATATATTGAGTTGCTTATAATCAGTTATGAACTGTAACTTCGAACGATTATGTGTTTGGAGGCATTGGTTTTGTTTTCTCAAGATTTGTTACTTTTGTATGATATCTGGAAAAGGCTTGAGACTTGATTTACCTATTAGGAATTATCTCAAGCTATCCCCATATTCAAATGTTAGACATATAGCTTTTGATTGACGAATCAGATGTTTTCTCACAAAATCAAACAAGATGCAACTTAGTGCCAGAACCTCTCATTGAAAGAGGACAAAGATTTATTGACATTTGTCATTAGTTTTTGTTGGCGTAATCAGTGAATTGCCATGCTAAACTTGTGTGTTCTGACAACACATTTTTGTTTGCAACACATTTTGCTTGTTGTCACTTTAGGGGGTGCATCTCATGCAAAGCACTTTTATTCTCACCTTGGATCTCCATTTTCAATTATGTTCATTTAAAAACATCCATTAGTATCAGAAATGGCTTTGCCTATTGTGAAAGGACTGCTGCAACAGTATGTACAATCACTGCATGTTGAGGTTTTTGGTTTCTCTTCCTTTTATTATCATTAGTATTTTTTTTCTGTTCTGTAATATCTTTTGTGCCACAAGTGTCCTTTGGATTTAATTTGCTATCAATGAATGGGCCTTTTGGTTAAGTTGCTAATTGATCTTGAATCAGATATCTTAACATTATAGGTAATTTTTTGGGATTATATTAATATTTTATTTATTTTTATATATTTTTATTCTGTTTGGGTCATATCTTCTATTGCAGAAATGTACATATGTGACATTGATGCATTAATTTAGTATTGAATCTGTGTGGGTTCACTGTTGTTCTTTACAGGGAATTATAAATGAGCAGTTTTCACATATTCAGCATCTGAAAGCTGACCATCTTGTGCAGTTGATCAATACATACTGCCTCGATGCGGAAAGCATCATATCACAACTTGATAGCCACATGTATCTTTGTTGCTAAAATGTTTGATCTGAAGAAGTTAATTTTCTTTCATTTGGATTATTTTAATGGTGCTATAACTTTGCAGTGATCTCCCTGATGTGGATTTCTCTAAGTTGGATGCTCTGGCCGCAGAAGCAGTGGAGAGAAGCTCCCGGTAATGTTGATCTTAATTTTAATGGACTCCTTAAGAACTAGCTCTTGTCTTATAGTGTTTTCTAAATGGAGAAGATTGATTGAAAATTTTGTCAGATGGTTCTTTCTTTTTTGAAAAAAGAAAGAAATATAGAAGTAATAAATGACTTCTTCATTGAATGCTTCGTAATAGTATTAAAACCAATGTTGAACTCAAAATAATATGTTCCTTGATTAAGAAAAACGAGCATGTATTTATAGGGCAAGGCATGTGCTTTTGGTCTGCAGCAAAGGTGCAAGTTATGCCAAGGTGCGCAACTAACACTGATAGAATCACTGCCTACCCATCTCCTTTTCTATAAAATCATTGCCGGTGTAGTGTAAAATGAACAAAAGATGCGGAGCATCTCCGCTGAAATAGGATGCTGATAAAATAGAAGCATCCATATATGCAAAAATAAAATTTTAAAAAGTGACAAATAAGTAACGTATAGCTACTGTGGGTTTGCTTACGTATCAGGATACGTCGTTAGACTTTGTGGTCGGAAAACCAGTTGGCAGAGAGAGATAGAAAATAATTAAAAGATCGAACTTTTTGTCTTGTAAGAATATTGTGATGTTTCATTTTATGTGGCTTTGGCTTTTTAGGAAAAACACTTATGTCCAAAATAATATTTACCCTCTTATGAAATTGAAAAGTCAAGATATGATATATTTATGTGGTTTAGTCTCAATTTATCCAATCATCATTTACTGATTACTGATTGGATAATATCCCCCATCCCTACCTAATGTATACGAACAGTATTGGTGCTGAGCACGTGAGACTTGCATGCGTGAATCTAATGCGGGCCTCTGATCAGAAGCAGAAACAAAAGTATGAAACTTTCTTGTATGGAATTTCTCGTTGATGCTTTTTATTCTATTATGCTGCCGCCGTGCCACGTGAGAAAATGTTGACACGTTTTTGTCGATTCTGCACCTTGACCATGTATTTACTTTTATGGTATTGTCTATCTTATTATTGAAGCAACTGTTTGTCATATGTGCTTTATTTGTACCACGTCCATTTATCTTTTGAGCTCATTCAGTCCTTATGCTATACGATCTGCTTGTGCATTAAGTTTATGCTATTTTAGCCTGTGTCATGTGTTTCTTCAAGACACTTTTCCCTTATCGCACTATAAACATTCGTACTTCAGCTTTCTTCAGGCCTTGAATTGGACAAAGACTGAATTTGCGCGTACCCGGAACAAGTTGCAGGTTATTGTCCAGGTATAAACTCAACTTTCAGTCACATGACAGTTGCATGGTTAAGCATTACATAAAAATTTTATGGACATGATAATGAAAATACTTTTTTTACTCATATAATGAAAATAAACCACACAGAAAGCGTAAGTTCAAATCCAATCAAGCTGGTATCATTTTAGGCTTTGCTGAACTATCGTGTCCCTTCATTTCAGTAATGCCTTTCTGGATTTGTTTTCTGAACCATCGTGTCTTGAGGCCCCTCTGTCTGATCTTTGTAATTACGAACAAAGTAATATATATATATATATATATATTTGAAGCAAATCCCAGGATTTTTGTAAATCAGGTTACTGTTGTATGAAATTTTGATCATACTTTTGCTTATAAGTTTCATTGATGAATGAACATGCTAAAGAAACATTTCCAAATGTGCTAATCTCCTAGAAAATTATCAACTGTAAATAATGAAGCCTAATAGTTTCTGTCCGCGTGTAATGACCTTAAATTGGACGAACTAAATTTATCGATGCTAAGAAGTGTCTGTATTTATCTGTTCCTTCAAAGATTGATATCGTTGAAGATTTTACTCTTAGAATGGTAGGTTTTAGACCTAGTTATCCACAATGAGTAATGTTGATTGTATTGATCATTAGAGGCTGACCTTAAAAATTATGCTGGGGTTTCTTTCTGAGAATTTATTGCTTAGCTCATCAATATCTTATCATCTTGAATTTGAATTTCAAATAGAATAAATTTTCTGGTGCACTGATTTTAAGCGTACAGCACCTTAATGCATCGACGGTGGTTCATGGTTGTTAATTATTCTTGCCTCGGATGCATTGAGTGCAGATGGAGCGGAGGATAATGAGACTTGAAGCAAAACAACGACAATACAATGCTGCTTGATGCTTATTGAGTGTTTCTTTAATGTGCCTGTAGAAATTTTGAACGAACCTTTGTAGGTTATCTTGAGAAAGTGGAACCAAATTAGAACAAAACAAACTTATAATAATCGTTTTATCTTCAAGTTTTTCTTTTCCCATCTTTATGTCATGGGTTGTTGCTAGCTGAAAACTTGAGGCTGTAGATACGAAAGAGAAAACCGGGCAGCACCTTCGTAGATAATTTTTGGTTCTAGCCTTGGAATTGTAAGCTGAAACAGACATGATAATTTGCCGGGTAAGAGCCGTTAAGTTGGCATCAGTAGTTGGCCGGTTTGAGAGATAGCATGCATAACTGTGAAGATAACATCTTTCCCGGTGTCGTGCATATTGGTGATCGTGGGAAACATCTTGAGAAAAGAAAAATGCAGCATCCCTAGGTGGTTTGATGAAAAACACAGAATCTATCAGCTATTTGATGCTATTTTTACTCATGCATTCTCCTCCACGGACTCTGCTCTTCCGGGTCGGTTTTAGACAACTTTTATATTCCATTTCAGACCAGTCCAAATTAAGTTATTGTATAGTAAATTTTTTTTTGAAAAAAATAAATATAAGAGTTTTTAAGATGAATATGTATTTTTTTTAAAAATGATGCATAGTAATTTAAGTTCATTAGTAGATTGTGTAAAAAAATGTGCTTACAAGAAAAGGTATGGGCCGCAATCTAGCTACTCTTCCCAACTTTGGTAAATGTAAATTGGTCCTTCTATTCTTCTTTTATATAGATATTTAAGTGGAAAATTATATTTTAAATCAATTTTATTATTAAGTCTATTTTTATAGTATCATAATTATATTATATATTATAGATAAAATTAAATGTATTTATAATTCGTATTATATGAATTTTGTGGTAAATTACAGTGGTCATCATTGAACTCTTGGGGTATTTTTACTTTCATCACCAAATTTTTTAAATATATATTATAATCACTAAACTATTAATTCGTTTTTGTCTCACTCGCTACCACTAGCTAGTGTTAAGAAATAAAGTGGCAGACCGAATAGCCAAACTAGCCCAGGATCAACATTACAACCTGGTATACTTCGACGCCTCCTGTGGATGTTGTTAACCTTCTCTCTTTGGATGCTGCCTCAATTCAACCACTTGATGATTTCTAGTCTTAGGTTCATGTCTTATGGGCGTTTTAATTAAAAATATATATATATTAACATAACACATTAAACTCTTCTTTCCCAACAATGAACATAGTAACAAATTGACTAAAACTTAAATTTTCTAAATTATCAACCGTCGTAAAACTTCAAATTTCCCACGAATAAAGTGACAATAGCTAATTCTAATGGTGAAAAGATTCCATGTGAATAGAAGATTACTTATTTTAGTTTTAAGTTGATCTGACGATTAACAATAATATATAAAAAAAATTAACTTTTAGTTTCTATTAGATAATCGCCTCATTTCATTATCGTTTTTGCTATGATTTTGTGATTTATCCGATCAAAAAGATTATCAAAACTTCTCATTTTCTTTCCTTGATTAAAATTAGTCAGATAACCTTCTAATTTGAACTAAAATTTATATCATTACATTAATATAATTATAAAAAAATAATTAGATTTTAAAATAATGGGTTAGATTATCTTTTAACCTCTTCAAAATAAATATTTTATTATTATTTTAATATTTGTTAGGATTTATGAAGCTCAAAGATCAACCGAAAATGTGTCAAGAGGGGTGAATTGACAATTTAAAGTTTAGGGACTAAAGAGTATAAAGATAAGGAAATTTGCACAAATATTTATAGTGGTTCGACTTATCAACAAGTCTACATCCACTACCTAGGCTCCTCACTTAGAATTTCCAACAAATTCACTAATTTGTTCTTTCTTTTTCAAGGATCAAGAGTAACCCTTACAACTCCCTAGTTTTTCACTTTGCTAAACTAGAACCAAAACTCCTTTTACAAAAAGAAAAAGATGTAAACAAGAAAACTCTTACAAGATAAGTGTTTACAAAATAAAGCTCACAAAAACAAAAATATTTACAAGAGAAAGGAAAATAGGAATGACAAATTCTTCTCTTGTGTTTGAATGCTTGGATATGTGTTATGATCCTTCTTCAAGTGTCATCAACTTATTTTTATATGTTGGAATGTGTTTGTGATCGTTTCTAGCCGTTGGGGATAATTTTTCTGCAAAATAAAACTGCACATGACAGGGAGTATCGGTACTCCTTTAATGAGTATTAGTACTTCCTTTGTTATATTTAAATAAACTAGTCATTACTAGCTGTTGGGTCTGACCAATATCAATATTATGCTCATGGTATCGATACTACTTTGTAAAGTAGTATCGATATTACTTTGTAAAGTAGTATCGATATTATTTTGTAAAGTAGTATTGATACTCCTTTGAGTATCGATATCTATTTTGTATTCTGAAATTTGAGCAATCTTGTAGTATCGATACTACCTTGAGATTATCGATATTTCTCTTACCTTTGGTATCGGTACCATATGAATAGTATCATTATTGTTCATATAGTATCGATACTATAAGAACAGTATCGGTACTTCGTACTTTGAAAAACAGTTTTGTGCTCAAATTCTAGTTTATTGGACTTTGAATTATTTTTGAAAATTTTGAACAAATTCAATTAAGTCCAAAAACATTTTGCCTTAATTTGTTATATCAAAATATTATAAAACATGGTTCAACAATCTTCCCTTTTTGATATAACAAAACATTTGAAAATTTGTTTTTGGCAAAACTACCCCTTAATAAAACATTTCATGAAAAAGAGAAAATATTTTGGAAAAAATTAAAGCTCCCCCTTTTTTTATTGATAAATTGAATTTTTCAAACTCATACTTCTCCCCCTTTTTTATATAAAAAATAATTCAATTTTAAAGTTCAAAAATAACAATAGAGAGTAAATGGTAAATTTTACATTAAAATCATTTGAAAGATCAAAGCTCCCCTCAATAAATGCATTCCAAACAAAAATTTGACTTTTTAAAAAGCATGAAACTTAAAAAAATGAATTTCAACAAAAATGAACAAACAAGTTAGTAACACATGAAATTCAATATATTCAAGTCTAATAAACTTTATGCAATACCAATTGTTGAATTTAAGTACATGTGCATAAAGCTATCCAAAAAATGTTATGCATTTGAAAAATTGATATCAAATGTTAGAGATATATCATTTGTAATAAATCACATGCATACATTTAAATTGAGGTAAAAAATTTAAAATTTGTAACAACAAACATTAAAACCAATTTTGACCAAACATTTATGAAAAATCATTAGACTTTAGAAAATGTTCATCACAACACTTTTTAACATACATGAGATAGAAAACATAAAAATATTTAAAATCAAAACTCATGCATGCAAACAACAAATAGGCAACCAATTAATCAAAGCAAAAACATTAAGCTTAGAGATTACCCATTCCTTTTCAAGTGTGACTAGAGCATCTCAATTTCTTCACTTTGTCATCATTGATCCCACACACTTACAAGAGATATTTATTTGGATTTTGGTATCCAAATTGTTTTGGATCCTTGAACGTTAGTTTCAATGCCCCTTGTTCCTTTTGGAAATCATACTTGTTTAATTTTAAAATGTTTTCCTTTATTTAAAGGACAAGTATGTTCCAAATGACCATGAAAATGGCAATGTGAGTATTTTGTCTTTTTTAAACATAATGAGTTATTCTTAGAAATTAATTTTTTTTCTTTTGTTATGCTTTTAAGCTTAACTTTCAAATCAAAATTTTCTTTTTCTAAATCATTGATTTTGTTTTTGAAAGCTCTAAATCATTTTTCAAAGTTTCATTTTGTTTTTCAAAATCAACTTTTGATTTCAAAATCAAATCATTTTCAACTTTAAATTTTGAAATTAATTTCTTATATTTGGAATTCATGGTCTCAAATTCCAAATAAAACTCATTATAATCATCTTGTAACTCATGAAAAGAATATGAATTTAATTCATTTAAGTTAGAAGATACCTTTGAATCTTCTTCAATGGCCATGAGGAATAGGTTGGCTACTTCATCTTCATCACTCCAAGCCGCCACAAATGCCTTCTTTGTACTTGATCCCTTTTTCTTTAGGAGTGAACAATCATACTTGACATGCCATGTTCTTTGACAATTGAAGCACACCGGGGGACTCTTCTTTTTTCTCGATTCATGCTTCAGTTCCTTAGAAGTCATGAATCTTTTGAAGAGCTTGGTCATCTCTTCTTCTTCTTTATCGTCTTTATCAACCTCATTACTTGAGTCTTGATTGCTCTCATTGATGGATTTGAAGGCAATGCCTACCTCATTCTTTTTATTTTTTTCTTCATCTTCATCTTCATCTTCTTATTTTCTTTCACCATCAACTCATGAGTGAGAAGATAACCAATAAGCTCATCAAGAGTGAGAGTCTTTAGGTTCTTAGCTTCGATGATCATGGTCCTCTTCGATTACATAGACTTTAGAAGAGAGTAAATCATCTTCCTCACAAGCTTCTTATTAAGAATCACTTCTCCAAATCCCTTGAGACCGTTAACAATAACGGAAAATGTAACATCCTCCATGTCGGGTGAGTGATTAATTTGCAAAGTTTCAACATTTGGTGATTAAATTAGAATAATTATATAGTTTAAAATGTATGGTTAGTAAATATGAGATGGAAGTAAGGACCAAATGGTCATTTGTAAGTAATTTTTAATTAAAAAAATAAAATGTTATGGGGCTATATGAGACCCACGTGTGACATTAGGTTCCATAACCCTCCCATTTCTTCTCCCTTCTTCCTTATTTTCTTCTCTTCCTTCTCTCAACGTGGAGCTTGCAAGTAAAGGTAAGAATATGAACCTTGGTAGTTTCTTTGATTTTTAAGATTGGAAATGAAAGCTTGGATGTTATATAAGCTAAAGGAAAGCTTATATGACATTAAAACAACAAGATAAGTGTTTTAGAGAATGATTTGGAAAATGAATTTTTAGATGAAATTTTTATAGGAATGAGTTTGTGAAGTTTGAATAAGATTTTTGACTTGTCAAGAAGCTAACTAAGAAGTATGAGGTGTTAGAATTCAAATTAGAACAT